ATTACCACATATTATAAACCAAATTCAAGCCTTGTTTAAGCATGCAAATTATCAAACAAAATCCAAGTTACTTAACAATCTTTCCCCTACGGTATACCTTTAAGCTCATGCAAAGCTGCTGATACACAAAGCAAATCTGTATACATTTCCAAACTACTGCAAACCTGATTCTAAGTTAAAAAATGTGATCCCAAGATGCCTTTACATAAAGCCTCACTAGGAAATTCTAATTGTGCTTTGAGTTCACAGATGTGGGTAAGCCACTTCTCATTAAACTTTCTAGAACCCCATGAACCCCTTTGACATGCATTTTCAATTGTAAATATAAACACTGACTAGGTTGTGAAACTTTGTTTCATTCTCCTCCAGAGAAGAACAAGGATCAACCACAAAAGGAAACAACCAATTTGTTTTTCTCTTATATGGTATATGCTTAATCCCAAACAAACTAGTAGAATCTACTGTAATTAACCAGCTTCTGACTTTGGTTCTTTTGCTCAGTAGAAAAACATCAGGAGTTCACCATTAATAACACATTTTTAGATAACATGGGTGAAGTAAGAGGAAACAGTCACAAAAAATCCCAAGAAAGTGTTGAGCATCTTTTTACTGAAAGACAACAAATACAAGTGAGCCATTAATAGTGGCAAATATATAGGGCGGGCAGGGGGAGATCTCAATCAGCCTTTTCATGTTTTATTCATTCTTAAGTAAGAAAGCCTTACCCTCTGTCCAGTTTTTGCCTTTACCAACAAAACCAGACAACTGGCATTGCATATATCCACTTTCAGATTGCCACATCAATTATTATTTCAGCCCTGACACGCTGACAGCAAAGGAGGAATTTTCTGGTCCGCAAGTAGACAAACCAGATGCTCTAAACCAGAGATACTCAGTCTGTGGCCCACCCTACCTGCAGTCTATCCCTATTAGCCTTTTCCCCATAAGAAGTTGCCTGTTAAGATACATGATGACGGTGCAATATTGGGTGTATTGAATTTACGGAAAAGGCCCTTCTCTCCTTAAAAAGAAGCTACGTGCTCGACTCAACCAAAAAGCTGGATCTATTTCCAAAACAAATAGATTTAAATAATTAAAATAATAAATACAGGAGGGACTTTATAAGCAGAGAAGCACAGATTTTAAGACTATTAGCTAAAATCAACATGCACCTGTAACAGCACAGTGTATGTTACAAAACTCTAATGTGTTAATTAATCTTCTGCCAGGTGGTCCCAACAGATTATTGGTAAGAACTACAAATCACCTGTGATTTATCCAACACAACTCTGAGATAATCTGCAAGTGCAGTATGTATCGAGAAGCAAAACAGACACATGATGGTGGACAACAGACATACAGAATCATCATGTTCTGTTCAGATTATTTTTCTAAATTAGGACAGTCCAGCCTTATCAACTATAGAGCCCACTCCTTTTTGCAAGAGTCTCCTCACATTTCACTCTAAGCTTGCCATCTGCTTTCTAAGTGAACAACCATATGAAAGCAGAGAAGTCTCTCGTCATTGGGGAAGAAAAAATGGTAGATCAGATGGAATTATGCTTCAGGCTGAATATGCTGAATTATGCTTCACAGGCTGTGAGACTAAACTAACCTAAAGTAGTGATTTAACAGACATGAACTCAGCTGTTTTACTTACAGTGAGCAATAACCCTTAAAAAATACTTGTATAAATATTTATGTAATTAATACAACTTTAAAACCATTCAGACCTTTTTACTTATATGGCACAGTAAAATTTCCAGTGTGTAAGAAGGTCTGCATGATCAAACTACAACCACATTTCAAGCACATTTCAGTCTCTGATATCCTGTAGGTTTAGTTTTAATCTATATTTTTCCACTTAATCCAACAACAAAACAGTCAGTTCACTTAATTTGTTTTCTCATTTTCTTCTGGTACCTGTCACCATGCTTTGCACTTACTGAACAGTTAAAATTATATATTTTTTTTTCCCTACTATTGGCCAAAAAGATAGCAAGTGCACCAGAACACATATACATATATTTTAAGGCTTATATTAGTATATCTATAAAATCATGTTTTAATCACTCATTGTTTATACAGAAGATAAATATTTGCTTATTTAAGGTTATCTTTTACAAAGTCATTTTCTCATTATTATGCTCTCTTTGTACTCTCTTATTCTGCTCCCCACCCCCCCACCCCCCGGGGTATATATTCTGAAATTTCATGCATACCATAAAGTATCTTTGGAATGTTACAGTATAATTGTTTAGAGAAACATTTAATGGATGAGTAAGCATCAAGAGGCCATGGTTAAGGGAAAAGAAAAGTTAAAATGCTAGAATCACTTTGTATTGAATGATCTTCTCAGCATGAGGACAGAGAATGGACATTTGATCCAAAAATCTGATATTGACTCAAGCGATAGAAAACCAACAGCTAGCATCGAAGCACATGAATCCATCCAAACACCTAACAAAACATCTGCTACCACCCACCTCTTTCAAACCAGACTTTAGTCACTGTCTCTTAAAGCAATCAAGTGCTATAGGGTATTCTTTGATCAATAACATTATGATAGGGAATTACTTGATCTTGGCTATTTTTTCTTAACTGGATGCTTGGTTTCCCAATTTACAATACAAATAATTTGCATGTGCAGGATACAGAAATGCAACAGAAGCAACTGGAAGAAAAGCTGGGCACTGAGTACAGAGGCAGCTAAAAAAAAGCTGAACATTCTTTCACTACAGGATACTGCTGGAGACAATATGCTGTAAATTAAATTTTCCTGAATTCCCTGAAGGACTGCTCCTCCCAGAGATTCTACAAATCCATTAGCAAAGGCCCATCTTTATAGTTTCCTTGGGGCTTATTTACTGAAGAGAGTTTAAAAAAGCACACCCAGAATAAAACGTACGGTGTATCAGAGGCAGAGGAGTGGGACAAATCAGGCCTAACCTTACATAATCGATTCATAACCTGATTATTAGAGCACAGCTGAGATGGTTTTTACTCCCAGTTCCTCCTCCTCCTCCCCATACTTTTTTAAGTCAAGGAAAAGCAAAATAATTACCTCCCTACCTGAATTTCTGATCCGAGGAATGGATACTAAGGCAGGAGAGGTACCATATGCTGACATGCACTGCTCTGGAAATTAAGCAGTTCTTTTAGCACCAGTGTTAAAAAAGCCGAGCTTCCTATATGCTTGTGTCACAGCTGAATCTTGTCTTATGATTGGGCACCTAAAATCTCTGTTCAAGTGGATTCTGTTGTGCTTAACAACATATGAATTCCAGCTGGTGCAGTACAATCTCTCCTAGCTTCATACTTGCACAGAATTTTCAGAAATCTAGTATCTTTGAGGAACTTCTATTTCTGCATTAAATTTGGTGGAGAACAGGTTACAAGTTAAGAAAATTAATTAGAAACACATAAGTAGTGTGATTCAATAAATCTCATCTTGTTAATAAACTCATGAACTAGTAGCACAAGTTCTGCTATGCAGCCTTCTGGTTCCAAACCCAATATATTTCCCAAAATTTCTCATCTATTTGTAAAATGTGTGAATCTAAATCACATGTAAAAATAATGGATTGCACATGCTGCTTGATTAAGGCTTTAAGAAGTATTTGCAGGCACATAAGATTTCAAGGGACTTCCCAGGTCACTATGTTTGTAACCTACTATCAGAAACACTATCTGAAATAACCTCTTCGAAAAGACATACATCTCAATCTTAAAATCAGTTTTCTTTTTGCATACCCTCCCTTAAATTATCTCAAGATTAGGATATTTCTTTTAATTTCCAGCTTAATTCATTAAAGATCCCATCCAGTGGCCACTTAGATGAAACTTCAGATTGTGTAGGAAAAGTTTTTACATCCTCAAGTTTTTCTTTCTCTTCTCTTCAACAACACAATGACCCAGATGTTGCTGTCAGATAAATTCACTGTTTTAAATCTACTTTTTTTTTTTTTTTCTAATGCCATACTCAAATGCAAATATAAATATTCCACAGGTAACTTTTTCTGTAACTACTTTAACTTGGTGAAATATAGGGAACCATAATACTACTGCTAATTTTTAAACCAAGTGTATAGATTCCATCTTGTGTTACAATAACCATACCAGAGCCTGTAAGCATGTCTTTGGGGGTTAGGGTAACAGGGAACACAACACAGTTTACAAAGACGTCTAACAAACAAGGGTATGTTAATCTTTTCAGCCACTTAAATACAGGAAAATCAAAAGCGAATGTCTTCCTACCATAGCATCACAAAACCCAACCTCAAATACTTGCATCTTAATGCCTGCTGGGATGTTTTCTGCTAACCATCCATTAGATTTCTTATAATACTCAGTACACACATTCTTCCACAAGCCGGATTGATTTCTTCCACAGTTTAACTTGCTTTTGCCAAAGTCTCTTTTAATTCAGCATTGGCTGCCTGCCTAACAAAACAACCTTTCTTCATGCCAGAACTGTCATCTTCAGTCGCACAAGACGTATCTTACTTACAAACATGTTTAACGAGCCCAATGTTTAATACTTGAAGAACTGCTATTTTAAAATGATCTCTAGCAAAACTTAAACAGATACAGAAGTGGTCAGTACCTAAACCTTGGCAGAGGGTAAGGGGGAAGAAGGGAATCATTCTCAAGAAAGATTTTATTTCCTTTTGTTTTTAAATACACCTTTTAAAGAGAAAACCTTAAGCTAGTCATTAGAACATGAAAGCGCAGGCACTTAACCACAGACAGCAGTGAGAAATGTAAGGTTCATTCTGAACCCAAAGTTGAAAGCTTCATACTCAGTGTGAAGTCATCATTACATAATGATCCCAAGCACCATAAAGTTGTCTTCTATTGAAAAGACTAGCTTTTAAATGTAAGAATCTGAAAACTTTAGTAAGTTATCAACTATTGCTAGTGACCGAAAAAAATCCATCTAAATAAACCTGTTGCTCTATTTGGCTATTGTAACTTTAGTCACAGCCGAACAACAATACCTGTGTAAGAAGTTGTTCTTCAGTCAGATTATTGATCCAACGAGTATACCGCTCAGTAGAGTCCAGTGGCTCCCTTCTGACTTGGCAACCAACAATCTAAAGCAAAATGAGATAAATCACATACTGTAAACTGCTGTACACCTACAAGGCAACAAAACAAGATTATAAAATAAGTATTCAAAACATGGTAAATCCAAGAATTAAAATTATTTATACATTCTTTATTAGCCCTCTTCTATGTTCATAATATAGTATAGTATTATGTAATATAATATGTCACAGTTGCTCTGCTCAAATGTCAAATAGTTACAGACTTTCAAAGGTCTCTAGAAAACTAACACTGAGAAGTGTCTTTCCAACAGCTTCAGTCTTGGGAATATTTGAAACATTTTGGTTGAAATTTTCAAAAGAAAGACATCCAAAGGCAGACATCTAGAATGCAAAATTTCAACCAAAATAGTTAAAGTTTGTCAAATGAAAATTAGAACTTGGATAACACCAGACAATCGTACCAACAGTGCCATAACCTATAATACCACACATTACTTATAATTCATATAAAATAAGGAGAAAAAAGAAAAATCTGTATTTTGATCTGTCTCATTCATGGTAGAACAATGTAGACACCCCATTTTGATTTGTTCAATGAAGTACTATATACCCATTCAAACAACATTTTCTTCCCTAATACTGTTCTGTAGCTGTACAGATTAAATATTAACTTTAATATTCTGAACACTTATTGGTCTAATAAATAGCTTCCAACTGCATCAAACAGAATATTAGAGGGATTTCATATTATCTGTAGCTGCATAGACACATATTAATGCAATTTCACACAAACACTAAACCACTTTACAAATATCTGGTTAGATGAAGAAGCCACCAAGGAGAACCCTAGGAGTGTGACTATACAGAACTCTGCTGTTTGCTGCTCTTAATGGGCTGTAGTCTACCCTAAACCCGCAGGGTACTACAGGACTTAATTATAGATGCAAAGTAAGCTGATACTGTTTTATACCAACTACTGCACTCCTGTCATACTCTGAGTGTCTATTTCTCTTCCAGATTTTTATGGGTACTTCCTGGTGCATTTGTTCATTGGGAATTAACACCAAAACATAGGTATTAGCATTTCTGAACACTAATTCCAGATAATCAAGTTCTGTTCAAGAACAGTGTGGAAAACTTATTTGTTTTACTTTCCACCCTAAGCATTCACAAGGAATGTAAGTATATATACTGAGCACAGCAAGTTTAAATCTTTCAGGTATCTCTATTTACAGAGCTTTAAACCCCACACAGATGTAAGTAGTCAGGATAGAATTCTGCATGTGCAGTTATGAACAGTTTTGATGTGGGAACAAAAACACCACGAAGAGATCTTGCTGGGGGACTCCTGGCAATGAAACATCACAATTTAGATTATGATTAAATACAATCAAAATAACAAACATGAAAAGAAAAAGAAAACATATTTGCTTATCCCATAAGAATAAAACAGAATGTCTCTGAACTATTAAATTTTTCCTCAACGACAACTATGAATTATTATGGACAACTCCAATCCTAATTTTGTCCTGAATTACAGCTAAGTAATACTAAGACATTTTCCAAAGGTTAACCCCAAATTCTTTTAAACTGAATATCAATTAGAAGAGTTCATATATGCATTTTTAAAGGGGGCACTTCACAGATATAAAAATTCCACAGAAGTTGTGTCAGATGTACATATATTCTGTTCTGTGAGGATGATTTTTGAAGAATAGAACTATATACAGAACTCTTACTAGTATTCATTAACCAAGATCTCATTAACCTCCTCTTGCCTATCATGGGATTTATAACTTACAAAGACACTTTACAAAACCACGCATAAAAGACAGAATGGAAAAATCACAAAACACTTCTTTTTCTCAAAAGATATTCTATAACAATACAATATGGAAACTTAGCTTCTTTATTCAAATAGTCACAATCTAAGCTGAACAAACACAGAATCACAAACAGCTTTCACAAAGTAAGAGATAAAAAGGAGAACCTCGATTTTTTCCTGAAAACCTGGTTTTCAATTAGAGCCAAGTAGTAAGTGCAGTCATCAATATGCAACTTGAAATTTAAATGAGAAGCAGACAACAGATTTTCAGATTTTTACATTAATTTCTGACCAGTCTGACCATTTTCATAAATGCTGTTGATAGTTTAACCAATCTTAAAAAAATGTTGAATTCGGTTGTTCAGCTAAAGGGCTGTAATTCCCTGAAGTCCAAAGAATCATTGGTTCAAATCTCAACTCCTTATGCTTCCAGAGAAAATTTAATGTGTTTGATCAATTATCTGTACATACACTCAAGGAGAGGTGAAGGCAGACAGAATAACTGCAATTAAATTGGATCCTGACAGCTCTTTTCTGTATCATACATCACTTTTTGTAATTTCTAGAGTTTGACTTAGAATCCAAGCCAAAATTTCCTCCTCTTTCCACAGAGCCATATACATAATTCCACTGCACACTCCAATTTATTTCTCTGATTTTGGCTTGTAACAACGACTCTGTACTTACTGTATGTAGGTCTTAAAATATGTTGAGTCTTTTGGAATTAAAAACACCATAATTAGGGAAAAAAGCCTCATCAAATAAACAAGTTATTTAGGAATTACTGTTATAGCAGTGATGTAAATCCAGAACAGAAAAAACAAAGGGTTACATTGAATTTCACCATAACTTCGGGCAGAATCCTTGGAACTGTAACTTTACAAACTCCTATCAACTGATATGCCTAATGGCAAGACAGAGTGAGAGGATAACAATCTAGAGCCTTATATACAAACACACTAATCAAAAAAATAGGTTTTATTTTTTGTACACAAAAATTTTGTTTTCTACAGCAAAGCTTAACCTAATGTTTAGAACAATAGTAAAACCAGTATAAGATATTAATCTAGAAAAATATAGAAAGAAATACAGCAGAAAGTAACAGAATTGGTCTCTGACCTTTATGAGTCGTATGTTAGAGTAACTCAGTGTTTCAAGAATCCAATTACATATTTTATCTAATCCAGTTAAAACTTAGAATAATCACTGGTGTGACCCTTCTGTTGTGACTCAAAGTCCCTTTAGCAGCACATTAAACACCTAAAGGTTCATGGCATTAAGTCTAAATGTAGTTTTACTAGAATTGATGGCAAAGGTTTAGAACAATGAGCTATCTCCAAAGCAGTAGATTTCACTTCCATGACTAAACAGGATACAGTCAATGACTCTTGGTCCTTGAATTCTCAAAATAAGACTCTAAAACCCTCCATACTGCAATCACTAATAAAGTGTTATGATGACCTAGTCTAGTATCAATGAACACTAAAAAGAAAGAACAGTAAAACCAAGGCTGAGAATTAATGTGAGAAAGAAAAGCTACTAGCTGGAAAAAATGAAGATAGTGCAAAATGTAACTTAGAAAAACAAGATTTTCTGAGACTGTTTCTCCAAATGATATTTGGACTATTTCCTATTTCTCCAAATGATATTTGGACTATTTCTTATTTCTCCAAATGATATTTAATATACCATATTTTTCCCCCTCACCTTTGGCTTTTCTTAGTCTTTTCTAGTTTGATCTCTAAAAGGCAGGCGTTATTGATGAATGAAATGGCTCCAATGAAGTTAATATAAAGATGAGGTTAAGATTTCACTCTAATTTCTTCCATACACACTGAATAGGATCATTATCTAAACAATAAAATATCATAATACATACTTAGCTATCTTATACTTATCTCATATATAGAATTAAAGGAAGACAGACAGGAAAAGAGGGACTAATATACTTAAAACTTTACTAAAATATCTTCCATAGTAGTGGCTTTAAGTTTGCCTTTTCTTAAAATTACCTAAACATTCTATCTACACATACAACTATAGTATTTATTTCCAGAAGGCTTTCTAATTATTCCTGAAATCTATTCTTTCACAAGCAAATTGAATGGCTGTCTTCTCTCCTCCTCATCATCCAAAACACCAAACCCACAACCTGACAATGCCTTTCTTTAAAAGCAAAGGAACAAAACAGTGATAGTTGGATGTTCTTAGTGGCCTTTCCTAAGGCTTCCATGGATGTACCAAACCCATCAGCAGGGCACATAAAAGCAAGGATCTTCCTCCTGCAGAAGATAGCATTGTAAAACATCATTTAACCACATTCTTTAGATTTAATGGTATCATAGCAAAATACTTTTAACAATATAAATGCATGTTATTTACAATAGCTGCATTTTGATCTTGCAACACAGCAGGAAAAAAACTACAAATGCATAACAAAGTCAACATTTTGTAAGAAGTGAAATGTTCACACTTCCCTCTACCCTAACATAACAGTGAAGTGTTTTGCACAGCACACAGACTTCCTGCTTTCTTTTCATTCTCAGAACCAATACCACTCAAGACTGCTTGTATCATCATCTTGAGAGGTCTTCTACAGACAAATCTTTAAATTATCACTATGCAATCAAACTTTTTTCTAGAACCTCAGCCAAAAAAATGCCACACCTTTCTGCTCATTAGCTGTACCAGTCCCGTCCCAATGGGACTCTGACTCATGACTGGGATTCTTGACTTATACGGTTGCAAGATAAACATCACCAACAGAGTTGTTTGATACAGCTTCTGTAAAGCATAGCTCATTTAACCAGCTTCTTTCATCCAATCAAAACCAGGATTATTTAGAGTACAAACGGATTCCTCTAGTTCCCCTGTGTATGGTGTGGCATCAGAAGCAACTGCACACGGTTCCCATTTCCTCCATGTCTCGCACAGCTTTTATATTCACTTCACTGAGTATTTCCTTATAGCTTCTAAACTGAAGTGAGAAGTTTTTCACTGTTGCTTCCTTCATAAGTTTTCAAATACTTTGATAAAAATCTTTCTGGCCTATTTTACACCCATTCAGACTTCCAGAAAATGAAAGAAACTCTCTGTATTAGAAATATTTTTTCAATATTTTGCATATATGTTTCTATGCAAAAATTGGAGTTCATCCAAGTTTCAACTTTTTGGTAGCTAATTAGGTAAGCTTGTTTTTATTATTTCAAATGCTAAGTGT